AGGGATTGGGGTCCTTGACTAAAGATTCATCTATTATCTTATATCAAATAACGATGTTCCAATAAAAGGAATAAGCCATTAAATTAAGGCTCTAGAGACCCTTCTTTAGGATTCAGATAAAGATACATTCCCCTTGAAGCACAAACCTGGGCTTTTCATGCAAGAGAAGCAGCAGCATTCAGCCAAGGTCAAAGAATGGCTCATCTCTATGCCCTTTCTAGCAAACTCCTTTTCTTTATAGTCATTGTAACATTCTGTCTTCTAGGGTATTATCTAGTGGCTCAGGGATGTTACATTCCTTTCAACAGAAGGATCAAGCAGAAGGAATTTCTGATCTGAAAGGAAAGCAAAGTTACAGCATGTGGAGAGATAAAAGGCATGTTACAGGAAAGAATTTAAAGGATATCCCTCCTCAGCCATCTTGGGATTGAATTTATGATAAAGATTCTGTATTTCCCATATCTATATACTGTTATTTCCCATATCTATATATATACGCACATCGGGGGCACCTAGGGGGCAAAGAGATTTTCCTGCACATTTGAGGCAATCCCCAGATGTGCAGAAAAATCTGAGATCTATAAAAACAATTGAGCTACCAGCACCTATATGGTGGGTGGACTGGACTAAGCTGCAGATAGGTTTCGATTCTCCCCTCTGCTCTTGTTCATTATGGGATGTCATGTGCCTAGCAACAGAGAGAGGGTTACATCAACTCTCAGGTCTCTGATTGGGTCAAAGGCCTAGGGCCGATCAGAAACCCCTTTCTATAAATCTAGTTGCTATTCCCACTGAATGGTGGTGCTTGCAGACTACTTGACATGGCTTTGTCAGTGGTCCCCGAGCAACCCAGCAATGGCATTCCATCTTGATTCCTCCCCGGATGGGCTGATTGTGTGAACATCTTGTTTTGCTGAACTGACTCTACAAACCTGGGATGGGTAACTAGAACTGTGTCTTTATGTGTTTCGCTGTGCTGGAAATGCTTACTTTATTATTTTACTCCTTTACAAACAACAAACAACAAACCTTTATTGGCATGACAACCGAATTATAACTACTCCTTCACAATCTAGTCTGGTATTTTAAATATTTTTGCACCTTAATAATCATATTTTTGATCACCTACCAAAGTAACTGTGTTGTCTTTGAAATTCAGTCTGCAGTTTCACTCTGCAGGGCTGACTTTTCTTGTTTAGTTCCTTGAGAAGCTGGGAGGCTTGCTCTTTCACTCCTGGGCTGTTGGGATAGATAGAAAGACCTGGTGGCAACCTACCAAGGCTCGGGTGAGTTTTTAGACTCTCTCAAGTATTTTGTAACTTTGCGTTGCAACATACTCCCCTTGAACCAAAAATTCCTGGGCCAGAGGGGCTGACACTTTTGACAGTGATCCAAACCAAAATGAGGTGAGTGGAGCAGCAAAAAAAAAAGATAGCCTTCAAAAATAATGCAACCTTAAAATGTTAAAAGGCAAATAATAATGCAAAATATTTATCAAATATTAATCCCAAACAAAAATTGGAAGTAGCATTTTTTTAAAAAAATCAAATACCCTCAAATTTTAAAATTTATTTTACAATAGTCCTTGGAGGATGGCCATTTTTCCTACTGAAAGTTAGCTTATTGCTTATTGTGGGGGTCTCATCCAACACAATTCAGTGATTAATTAACCTGATTTGATAGTGAACAAGTCTGATTAGCTTCAAATAAATCATGCTGTTGAGGAACTAATCAGATGATATGCTGAACCATTCACAAGACCAGGATCTTCATGTTGCTCATGTGCAAGTCAATTGCAAGACATCTACTCAGTGTGGAGAACCAACTACATAAGCAATTTCTGTAAATATCTTGAGTGATTTTTGTGTTTAGGAATTGCCTGTCTGTAGCTTATGTTTAAATCACAGAAATTCATGCTAATCATGTATGTTCTCATGTAGTTTTTATTTATTTATTGGAATTTTTATCCCGCCCTCCCCGCAAAACGGGCTCAGGGCGGCTTACAAGGGGCAAAACCCATATAAAACAGGATAAAAGCAATAAAAACACTAATAACAATTAATCACAAACAACAATAATACTCAATTGAAAGCAGGATGGTCCCCAAATATATACAATGATGGTAAAATAGTTCTCTTGGGATGATGTTGTCCTATAGCTGATCCCAAGCAAATAAATCCGATAATATGAACAGTTCAGCAGCTGTTCAGGATGAAAGTGTATGATTTTTTTCTCTACTAACAGTTAATTAAAGCAACTGAAGAAATGGAACATTTATTGTTATTTTAATTGCAAATAAGAGTTAATTTAAACCTTTTAATCTTGCTAAAGTAGATAACAAGCAAGTATCAAGATGCGCTTGCAAGATGACTTCACTACAGTATAAAGGACCAATCATATTACCTAGAAGACAATCACATATTAAAGTTAGAAAGAGACATAAAAATTGGAAACTGTCATGATTCTGACAAAAAGCATCCTACACAAGTCAAATTGGGTTTCTGTAGGACAGTTAAAGGATCTAAGTGAGATTTCTGTGTGTGTATGTTGGGCTTCCAAAACTTTCTAATTCATTCTGAGACAATTAATTGAAACCTGATTTGTTTTGAACTTCATGTATTCAGTTACATTTGAGATATGTTAGGAGATATAATTTTTTTTGCATATGGTTTTTCAGTATTTAAAGTGTTAATCTGACATAAGTGTGCACTTAATTTCTTGCCTCATGAAGATATATATTTCTTTTTCTTTTTTTCAAGAAAAGATAATTCTCTCACTGAAAGTTTCCTTCTGGTTTGCTGAAAAAAAGTTCAAATGCTCTGAGCCCTCTGAGTAGGGAAGGAAAAATAAATGGAAAAGGCCTAGTGACTGACAAAAATTCATGCTTTAGAAAAGAAAGTGTGAAGACGTATGAAGGCATAAATATTAAGATAAAGGGGGAGGGGGAGAATTAACACTGCAAACAGAGAGCCCCAGAAAAGAATTTACATAAGTGCATTTTAATATCTTTGCTGTCTCTACCAAGGCAAGAAAAGAACTGAAGGATGAGGGCACCACCTAGAGAAGAGAAGGAAGGTTGCAGTCTATTTCCTGCCTTGCAAAGGACGATGGGAAAGTGCCCAGCAACTCAAGATACCCTCAGGCTTTTGGGGAGAAAGGGCGGTTATGAAATGGAGTTAAGGCTGTTTACAGCTGCTATTTGCTACTTACTTTCCTCAGTAATGAGAGCAGTTGACAGAAAGTAACAAACATTCACATTCTTTTACCTAACCATTTCAAATAAGGAGTGACCTGGAAAACTGGCTTTGTGGTTTCTGAATACCCCCCGGGACCTTCGTCTGTGGCAGTACTCACCTGTACTGAGTACCAGCACCTTTTGTGGGGCACTCCCACGTCCTGAGAGGAGAACTGGTAGAAATCAGCATAACATTATACATGAATAGTGGCACTTCTTTAACACAAAAAAGCACTGAAAATACATTAACAGTTCCTTCTTTTGTTCCTGGTTGCCACTGGTTAAGTGTGTGACCCTGGCTGAGAAGAGTGTGCCAGGTTCTTGAAGGGGAAGTCAAAGCACTAGGCACAAATCCAACATGTCCCATAGCACCACGGCATCCTGCTAGGTCTCCTCCTGTGAGACATGCTGCACAAGGTTTTTGCCTGATACCAAAGTACTAGAGCTAAGACATCATGCTTCAGCACCCTGTGGTGCTTGGGGTCAGAAGGGGCATATCTGTTACTTGGCAACAATATTTTCCCCTGCCACCAGTGGCCTTCATGGTACACTGGTAGTTAATCAACCAGAATTCACCAGCCCAAGTCTTCGTAGAACAAGAAGCAGAGTATCCAACTAGTGTTGCAGTTAGCCATTCAGTCGTGTCCGACTCTTGGCGATCCCATCCAACTAAGCCCATTCAAATTGTAATTAAAAATTTAAAAGACATTTTAGAATTAACCTTGCTACAGTTTTGTCAACCAACACAAATAACAAGTTCCTAATCAATTTCGGTGAGGGGCTGGCTCAGTGGGTAGAGAAGGATCCAGGTTTGGTTCCCAGCATCTCCATTTATGTGGATCAAGCAAGTGATGATATGGAAGGCTTTTGCTCGGGACCCTGGAGACCCACCACCAATCTGAGTAGCCAGTACTGACTTTGACAGAATGGTCAAACTTAGTAGAAGGGGGCAAGTCCAATTTAGCACAACCAGTATGGGAGACTGAAGGAGAACAGGAGACATCAGTTATGTTTTCTAAGTTCATCCACCACATCAGTCGACAAATATCTCCTGGAAGCTCCAGCTTTCAAGACAATTCAACCTGGAGATCCTCTCCATACTTTCGGATAAGTTTCTCATGATTGTGATCAACAGACCACTGTTTTGGGAGGTGCTTGGGCTGCATAGTGTCCAAGAAGTGCTGGCGCCATCGTCTCTCCAGCTGCATGAGGGAGCAGAGACCCCCTTTGGCAAAACACTGTACTACTTTCAGACCATGTGGCATGTAGGTCTCATTACAAATCCTGAAAGGGGAAAATAAAACTTGGATTCAGAAAAGCACAGAACTTCACAGATGACCCAAGCAACCTTCAGGACTATTACATTTTGGCCTCTTTAAAGGTACTCCTGAAACCATTTTGAAGTCCTGTTTGTTCTACGAACGGACAATGGCAATGATGGGTGAAGCTCTCGAAAAGAATTCTGATTCCATCACATTGAGAAAAATCAGGCAAATCGCAGTGCAGTCCTAAACAGTTAAACCCTTTTAAGCCCTAAATCGATGGGCGTAGAAGTGTGCAACTCTGCCTAGGCCTCCTGTAGATCACCTTAAAACCAGATATACTATGCCGTTTATTAAAATTATGTTCTATGACCAAAGAGAGGGGAAAGAGGTACCCCTATATATGATGCACTTTTAAATCACATTGTCTCCCCCTTTTTGCTGTGAACATGGTCCCTTTAAATCCACCACCTCTCATACTTCACTCACTACAGTGGGATGGCTCTTGAGATCAGGACCTCAGCTAGAGACAGAGTTCCAAATCAGGCTCTGCCCATGAAGACAGAGGTGGGCTTGACCAAGAGGAGGGTGGGGCACCAAATGAACAAGCCTTGAGGTTAATGCAAATAATCAGACCATAATAGGAAGGCAGTAAAGCCTGGCCTGTTGGCTTGAATTTAAATCTTGGCACACAGCCAACTGTAATCTGCAGTCCAAATCAGTAATGTTAAATGTACCTGGTTTCCAGTCCAGCTGCTTCTTGCAGCATCTCTTGAGAAACTGTCACAGAGTGAAAGTAGTCCTTGACCACCTGTAACAGTTCCTCTTTCCTGGCATCAGGCAGGCCATCTGCATTCAGAAGGGCCCTAGCACCTGAACGGACTTGCCTGCGGACAGGATCTTCAAGCAGGCGGACGCCTTCCTCACAGCCAATGGGGGCACCAAACTCCTCGGCCAACTTCTGCTTCAGATGGTTGTCATAGTAATTGGAAATAGCATGACAGGCAGTGCAGAGGAGGAGCACATCGTGAGAGTTGTGGTCCTTCATCTGGATGGGGAAGTGTCTCCGATATTCATGAGGCACTATGTTCTTTCTGTTGAAGAAATAGGGCAATTGTTTTGAACAGCCAGCTGTATTACTGGAGGTGTTATGTTAGCTGATTAAAAAAAAATTGGCCACTGTGTGACAGAGTATTGGACTGGATGGGCCATTGGCCTGATCCAACATTGGCTTCTCTTATGTTCTTATGCTGCAGATCAGACCACTGTGGGCTCTTCCACACTCTCATTTTTGTTGTTACATGCCCCTATTGCTTTATTTCTTTTTCTTTTCTGCACGTTTTGCTCTCTCTAGTGGTCATTTCAATATTACATTGCTGTATCTTCAGCATATTTCCCTCCACTTTAAAACTGCAGGGACATATGACAGAGATATGGAGATGTAATGTCAAGTGACCACTAGAGGGAGCAAAACATGTGTGAAAAATAACACCCCCCCCAAAAATAGGGGCATGCAAGCAATGAAAATGAGAATGCAGAAGAGCCACTTTAAAAGGGGCACGCAGATTCTGTTCCACTCACTCAACCTCGGCATGCACAGCCCCAACTCTGCTTATGTATCCACATTTTGATGTCACAATGGCATCTGCCGATTCTTTCACAGGGAAAAAGTTTACATTAGGAAACCAGAAAACATTTTTCCTCCATGTTTCATATATCTGGTTTAATGCCCCATCCCCACAGTGGTCCACTGGCCACCAGGAGGCTTTCTTAAAAATAGCAACAGAATAACATTATAACGGTCTGTGTATCACATTCTCTGAATTCCCAGCTTTCATTTTTTAAAAAGTAAATATCTAGCCCCTTTCATTGCAGACTTAGAAGGGAAAAGACGTGTGTCTTTAACAAAAGAGGGTAGAGACTTACTCTTCCTAGCTTTCATTTTTAAAATCCAGAGAAACCAACACACAGAGTGCTATAACAATAGTCAATTGCGAGTTTAAAAAAAAACAAACCCTGAAATGGTCTGGTAGTGCTTGGGGTGTGTGTGTGTGTGTGAATGGTCGCTGCCAGGGGACTGGGGCAGGAAAACTACAGAGAAACCTGCCATGTGGAAGTCCCATTGCCACTGTGCTGTATCAGCAGTTGCAGCTGCAATGGGGAAGCTACACAACTACACAAGCCGGTTACCACGTGGAAAACACTAGACTTCATATATATTTCTGTGATGTATGATCTCATATGGTCATAAGTGATTGTGTGGTTGGGCAAATAATCATATGAGGTTGTGACATTAAGATAAAATGTTCAGTGCACTGCGTAACTATATAACTATATATTGCATATCTATTTGTAGGACTGGGCCCTATTTACCAAGGAATGATCCATCGTGTGATACATATTAATAGGATTCAATGCTACTGAAATAAAAGGACTCCAACATAAGCTCTGGTGTTTTGCTGTGTCAAATAAATATACTTTCATCGGCATACTAGAGAACTCACCGAATATAAGACTCTGTCTTGCCACAAACAACACACATGTTCTCTTTAACTGTTAAATAATAATCCACCTGAGATTCAGGGCGCCCAGAAGGTTCAAACTGTAGCTTCACAATAAATGGGTCTGTACCCACCAACTCTAGGACAACCAGAGAGACAGAGGGAAAGAGAATTAATGTCTGAAGGATAACTGTGGGATGAAATGAAATACTGGGTTACACAAAATAGTAAATGCATAGAGTTCAAAACTAGGTAGCATGGGAAGGATAGGGTGAATCTTGTTTTGCACGCCAAAATGTTTAGTACACATGAATACATGAGTCAGACCACTGGTCTATCAAACTCAATATTGTCTAACCTGACTGGCAGGGGCTCTTCAGGGTCTCAGCTAGAGGTCTTTCTCATTACCTACTATCTGATCATTTTGTAACTGGAGATGCCAGGGACTGAACCTGGGTCCTTCTGCTTGCAAAACATATGCTATACCACTGAGACACAGCACCTCCCCCCAAAAGTGTCTATTAACAGTTTGGTTGCCATAGCTTAACTCTCTGCTCGCATCCAGGCTGAGACAAAGAGATCCCACCTCAGGAGGAAAAGGCAGAGAGGCACAGGCATCCTGCAGCCACAAGAGAGTTATAAAATGAAAGAGGGTTCACTAAAGTATATGCAGTAGGTGGCTCAGTGGAGTTTGAGTGGAGTGGATGGGCAGAACATCTGTTCCCTACCAGACTGGCTTGCAGATGTGGTCCAAAGGTCACATCAAGGTTGCTGTGCTACATGGACAAATTAACTTTAATTTTGAGAGGACAAAACGAACAAAAATTTGAGAACACAAATGGTCAAGGTTTTATGTGGATGGAAGAACATAATAAATAAACCATATGAACATACAACCAAATCAGAAGAAAATATGAACTATATTTTTAGTTATGAACAAAGGTTTATTCAAATTTACATGGTGTGGAAAAATTAAGAAGCAAAATATATAATTAGATATTGTATGAGGTAATGTAATAGAAAAAATAACATGCTAAATGTAATCCCCAATTTATATGTATGTATGTAGGTTTGTTTTTGTTGGTCTTCTATGAAAACAAAATTATTTATACTAAGGTTGCGGTGCTGATCTGCATTAAACAGCTTGGGGCTTTTTCACAGGCAATGTTACTAACTTACCATAATCTTGACCAAAAAAATGAATGAATAAATAAAAAGAGCTGCTTTTCACACTTACTGCTTCCCACACCCTTCCCAGCAATTCTTGCAGAACAGGAAAAGAAAAGGCTCACATACCTGCAATGCCCTTGTCAAGATACCACTGGGCCTTCTTGCGATCGCAAGTGCATAGAGGTTGCCCATCTGGTGCATACAAGAAGCAATTGTCATACAGGGGAGATTTCCTGTGAAAACAAAGATTATCGTATCACAAGCATGACCTTTCATTAGTCATATCCTGTACACAGTGGCATCTGACCTTATTGTATGCAAATCCACCTATAATATAATTAAATAGCACTGGCACCTAAATCCTGTAGTTTTGTTTCCAAAGTATTCAGCAAATCAGGAGCTCAATGTGGCACTGGTGAGGCCTCAGCCTTCCGCAAATACATGAAGCTGGGGAAGGAATTATCCTTGACTTCATGCAGTGCTCTGGTGGTAATTCAACCTTCTTTGAAGGTCAAAGCGACATCAGACACCCCTCCTCTGAGGGAACTGCATCCGTCCCCTCACAAGATGATAGGTCCCTCCCTCACCCCTCTCATGTTAGTACTTTGGCCAAGGGGAGCACCAACAAGAATTAACTTTGCATCTCCAGTGAGGTGCTCCAGAGCTGGCTACTGAAGCCAAACCAAAACAAATAAATAACCCTTCAGGCTTTCTTCCTACTGAAGAGCTGAAGAATAAGGGGGTATATAATTACCTAGCAGAATATCCTACTCCCAGGGGCTTCCGCTTGTGCTTCCGAGGGTCCTTCCCCGGCTGGCTGACTGGGGACTGCTCATTACACAGTGGTGACTTCTGATTCTTTGTTTTTTGCGGCAAGTCTCCTTCTGGGCTCTCATCATCACCAAGGCAACTACTCTTTCTTCCTTTGAAGGGCACATCCACTAAATCCTGACACTTTCTTAGGCCCTTTTCCCAACCGAGAGGAGCACACTCGCTTCTTTCCACTCGAGGGACAAAGGGAAGTCTCAGCAGATGCAGGAACAGAGCGACCGACACCTGGGCATCCCTGGCCGCATAAGCGATCTGGGGAGAAAGGAAGAGCCTTTGCATTACATTACACAGTGATATGCGTGAGGACCCTAATGAACACACACAAGTAAAAAAAAGAATGGATCACAATGAATGAGGGTGTCGCCTCTACTCTATCTGAGGCAATGCCGACCTCAAACTCTCTGAAGCTCAAAGGCTGCACAACAACTTGGTTCACCTGAGCAATTCCTTTGGATAAACAAACCAATGGATCCGGCAAGACTTTTTTTGTTGCTGTCCCTGCCTGATGGAGCCGGCTTCCTGAAATGGAAAATGAATGCTCAGACTCTACTGGCTTTTAGAAAAGCCTATAAAGTCATCCTTCATGGGAACCCACAGGGTGAATTCTGGTTTTTAGTGCTGGTTACAGTTTTAGGTGCTCAGGTTTTTCCCTGAGGTGTTCCATTTGCTCCTCCTTTGGGGGATTGCTCACTGTATAGATACAGAATTTAGCTTTTATCATGAGCAGCCCTGAGGTACTGGAGAGGCGGGGAAACATTTTCAAATATATAGACTCACCCTATTTGCATCCCCATTATAGCAACTTTCTCTAGCCTTGATTTCATCCCTAGATCCATTGTAAAATGGGGGCAAGTCCTGACTCCCCCCACACCTCCTGGCTCAGCCTCCAGAGCCTCCCTCCTATGGCATCAGATGGAGGGGAGAGGGAGTCTGTCTGCACCCTGTTCCTCTGCCTCCTCTTCTTGCCAGATCCCCTCCCACTAGGCCTGGAGATGGTAGCCACAGATGTCCTTGCAGATCCTGAGCACATCTGCTCCTGGCCTTCACAAAGACAATTCTCCCCATGAGAGACAGGGAGACACTCAGCCTATTGGTGTGGTTGGGACCTGCCACCCAAGAGCTGCCCTGAGTTACTGTTGACCAGCTGTTTGTGGTGGTGGCTCTTTAAGGGGATATGTCGCTACAGCAGCTATTCAAACAGGTTTACCCTAGTCAGGTTTACCCCCGGTACCATGCAGTTCCTTCCCATGAAGAAAATCATTAACAAGTGCTTCAGTCAAAGCCTTTGCAAATCTAACCCCTTGTTTTCTTTTTGCCCAAAGGGAAAACTTGAACTATAGAGAAATTGAACAGTCAATGAGAATGACCAGGAAATTATCCAAGAAGATTATTCTGTTGCTATGAGCCTTGCCAGTTTTAGAAGCCAGGATAAAACATTCTTTTCCACCCAGGTTTTTAACTGATGCTTTTTAACCCCAAGGTGAGTTCTTGTGTTTTTCAATGCATGTTTTTATTTTGCTAGCAACCCCCTTGGGCTGGAAGGGTTGAAATGTGGGATATAATCAATATTCACAGTGCAAAAACAAACCTGTTCTTCGGTTAGTTGCTCGCTCTCCCAGTTGCTGCACCTCAGGTGAAGAGATTTGTCAAGTGAGTAGTTCAGGATCCTTTCCGCTAGAGATTTGAGGCTGAGTCCATTTGGTGGGAGGGACTTACTTCAGATTTTGCAAATGGAAAGAAAAGAAAATTAATCTCATCCATACAAACGCTCCAATGGAAATTGTTTCAGTGACTGCTATAAGGAAGTGCCATCTCTGTGTAGTGCTCCTTTGGCAAATAGCTTGCTAGTTAGCTTAGCTATCTGAGATCTAAAAATGTTCAGTAATACTAACTTCTTCTTGAAGCCCCTTTACATTTGCGGTCAGTTGATTAAAAAGAGGAGAGACTGCACTTGTAACAAAATTATAAATTTAATACAAATAAAAATTGTTATCCAAAATAAGCAACACTTACCGCTTTCCAATATCCAACACTGTCTGTAGGGAACACAACGTTATACTGACATCCTTTTCTGGCAATCAATGACTTTCAGATATTCAAGAAGCATGACTGTATTCCTTCTCTCTGCCCCTGCCACAGTGAACAACTTTCCTGCTATTATACAAACCTTTGTCTCATGGCCAGGTACCGGAGGTCAACACTCCCTTTGACTGTTACCCCGTAGTCATGAAGCAACTTGCAGGAATCTTCCCAGCACCCCACCCCAACTTTCAGGATGCCACCATCTGCTAGGATGTCCAGCAAGGTCTTTGGAAGAACCTGCTCACCACTGGTCAGCCTAGGTAAGCGAAGGAGGGCACAAAGACCACCACAGGTTGCCATTTGCAGAAGAGAGACAGGCTTGGCCTTCCCTTTGATAGAGACCTGTCAAAAAAGAGAAAGAGAAAACACAAGTTTATCTAGCCGAACTCCATGCCACAACAGCATAGAAGATAACAGTTGTGGTATGAAAAGCTACTGTGCTGACAATGCTGAACTCATTGAGGAAATCATTAATTTTCAGTAAAGATTATTCCTGTCATCAGACATAATATTTTGCTTAATTTTGCTTTGTTGGCTTATTGTTAAATGAATTGGTTGTACAATGTTTCTTCCCTATTTTTTTCCTTATAAAACTTTATGGAACAAAAGAGGAGCGCACCTCTATAAAGTCAGAGCTATCAGTGCAACTGCATCAAAATCTCTCCATATATCTTCCAAAACTATGCTGTAACTAGTTGTTTAGGTGCTAAAATGTACTGCCTCTTTTCTGTCCCACCTGAACTTTCAGCATCATGGGAGAGTGAACTGCTAAAAACAAAGGACTTAGAACAGACTTGTCCACATTTAAGCCTTACCCATTCACAGTCGATTCCAAGGACTGGACAGTGCTCCAGCTCCTTCTTTAGTAAGGGTTCCAGCCTATTCCAATCCTCTGCATCAGAAACAATCACTATTTCTCCCCCAAGAATCTTTTCCACCCAGGGGACAGTGGTAGAGGAGAAGAGCGGAAGAAACTTTTCTTCTGGGAGATCTTCCTTTCCATGTTCTTCGACAGCCCCTCCTCGTTTAAATGGGATGTAAGCTTTGTCTTTCCGACGTCGGGTAACTTTCCAGAACAACAGGCCTCCTGCTGTAACACCCAACAGAGTGGCCACAACAACAGCAACTGTTGTTTGTCTAGGCATCGCTCATCTCTCTTACAGCTTCACCTCTCTTACAGCTTCAGATTTCTAACCTGCAAAGAATATTATGGGGAACATATATACATGAGACATACAAGAGCTGACAAATTTGGGCTGTTTATGAAAGAGAAGATACAGCCAACAAGGACATACTCAGACCAGAAATTGATCATGACATAATAGTGCTTTATGAATTGATATGAGCTGAGCTGCTTCAACCAGCCTGAGTTCAAATTGATTCAAACTGTGATGTGATGTTATATTATTATTATTATTGTTGTTGTTGTTGTTGTTGTTATTTCCTGCCCTCCCCGCCAAAGCAGGATCAGGGCAGCTTACATGATAGTTTAAAATACATAAAAGCAGCATGAATATAAAACATCACAATTAATCATAATGATTATAAAATATTTCTTTCCCACCTTATCTCCTTGGGCTCAAGGCAACTAACAATGCAGCTACCACGTTATGAGGACCAGTCCAAAATTAACAAAATTAAAACACAGGTTAAAATATACAAATTGCAGATTTAAAAACACTCAAGAATTAAAACACTCAGGATCAATTTTAACTGGCTTCACTGCTCTGACCCTAGAGCTGTTCACTCAGAAGCAGGTCCCACTGACCTCAGTGGAACTTACTCAAGGTAAGTGTACATCCATTTGCAACCTTCTAACCCAATCCATGCACATTTACACTTTAGTACATCCCATTATATTCAATTAGATTACTGCTAGAAACCTGTGCATAGGATTCCAACCATAGGTTGGGAATAAATCCAACAGAAAATAGTAAGACTTTCTGGAAAGAAAATAGTTATAAGGACAATCTGCACAAGGTATGCACACTTTTTCCTTATCTGTGTGGTGCATTTTTAGATGACAGGGCTTGGCTTTGGTTTCCTTCCTTCTGTAGCTACTGTAGCTACTTGATGATGTTACATAAAAACATTGGTTATATCTCATTATGACTAGATGTCAGTTGTACCAATATAGACTGGTTCAGCCAACCCCTGAGATCTGCACTGATGCAACTAAGAGTTAGTTCTTACTGAGGCAAGGATGTCTCTGAGGTACCAAAAGTACATAAACATTTTACATAAATAAATAAAAGTATTCCAGTTGTATCACTTTAGATTCCATTTGGGAGCTCACATATCCATTCACACAAAAATTCCTCACACAGAGAAAACTAGCATATCAGGCTAAGCAAAATAATTGAAACAGCTCAGTCCAGACACAGGTTTACCATCTTAGTGAGAACTACCTAACAACTATCCACAGCTTAGGTTTTTCCCACCTGAACATTTTAGAAAAATAGACAGTTTGAACTACTTGCTACCCATTTTTTGCCTAATCTCCTTCCCCAATACTGTGTTTTTACATACAGTAAAAACAATCTAAAATGTCAATGCTGAAAGTTATCATTAGGGCTGGCCAAGTAAAAGTTTAGTTTATTTTCTTTTAACTAGGTGGATCAAGATACAAAGCACAACTTTAACACACAATAATATATAGGGATTATTTTAATACATTTTGATTACCTGAATGCTAAAACACCTGAGATTTACTGGGAGTGCCTGCAGTACTGTTTACAGCTCTATTACATGAATTAAGTGGGTAACATTGAGCAGGTGGATAATCTGGGGAGGAGGCAACATGTACGGACCCTGAACTTTAGTGAACAGGGGCCCATCCTGACACTAACAATGCAGCCTGGTGCCCCTTCACCAAGATTCAGATTAAATATGTCATTATGGCAGGGGCTACATGAATAAGCTCTCAAGTTGTGGGTTTTTCATTAAAAAGCTGCTGTAGCTCTTTGCGCACTTAGTCAGGACTCGGAGTATGCCACACTGAAATCAGTAGGATTTCTTTCTGAATAAGCAGGCATAGAATTGGTCTGGAATTTAATTGACAGTGCTGGTGACAAAGGTCACAATCCTAAAGCCACTTTCCAGGAAGTGCCATTGAATCATATGGGAAATACTTCCAAGTCAAACTGTTCAGGATTGTTCCCAAAATGAGAATGCGCCACATTTTTACAGGCATTTTGTTTCCTTGAAACCTCTCCGGGGACCTTGGTTGAAATTTTTAATTACTTTCTGGAGGATAAGTCTCACTGAATAAAGTGGGACTTACTTCCAAGTAGACCGGCTTAGGGTTGCTTATTCCCCTTATGCCGTTTCATGGATTTATGCATTCGTGTTCCACATGAAGTGTCTGTTGGTTCAAAACTGTATTACGGCGAGGTCTAACTTCGGCTCTATTTCTCGAAACCTTTCAGCGATACATAACATGATTCTTGTTCGGTATCAACATCATTTATAATCCTGACACGTTTTTCCTCGCTATGTCCCCCTTTGTTGGTCTTCTGTTGGTCTTACAGGTGCCACTGGACTCAAAATTTGTTTTATGCCCCCTTTTGTCAGCGGACCCTGATAAGAGAGGCAGTAGAGGGAGGGAAAAGCCCGAACCGAACATTTATAGTATGTCCCTCCTGTCCAAGCAGATTCTGCTTCCGCGATATTAAGAAGAGCAGTTCTCCTCCTGCGCAGAATACCGCGATTCTAGAGGGTAAACAACTCTTCCATCTGAAGCCCGGCCGGCTGCCTTCGCACGCACTCAAACACAAACACACACACACACCATTTTGAAATTTATAGCCGCCTTAAAACTGTGTTTGGAAATGAAATCAAGGAAAGGAACTCTAATAAAATACCAAGTAATAACAAACTCAACAGCATCTGTTTCCAGCGAATCTCTCCCCCTCCCCCCAACACACTCACCTCTCTTATCCTTCTGGGACCCTCACATCTCTCAACAAAATCGTATCTATCAATAAAGACAGTGTTCGTGGGTGTATTATTGGCCGCTTTGTTTCATACGGAAGGAACATGTGCCTTGTGGTCCGCACGCTTGTCGGAGCTTGTTAACCAACGAACACTTTCGAGCTCTTACAGGGGGGTTGAACGTCCTTGTACAACTCAAACACTTCCGGTAATTGTGGGTGCCGCCATGTTGTACGGCAACTATGCTTTGTTTCTATGTGTTTGGGCTGTCTCGGACTGCCAATGTTGATTAGAAGAACAGTGCTGAGAGTAGGGTTGTTTTTCAGGGACGGCAGGTATGAGAGACGTGTTCCTTTTGGGTTCGTTTTCAAGTGCCTTGCGGAGAACTATTCGTTGCTGGCTCTGCGATATGGATCATGGATCTATTGGAGCGTTTTGAGTTGCTGCGGAAAAGAATCTAAAACATCCCTATTTTATTATTAGGGTTGCCGACCTCTGGGTGGTGGCTGGAGATCTCCTGGAGATCAGAGATCAGTTCGCCTGGAGAAAATGGCCGCTTTGGAAGGTGGACTCTATCCTCCTTCCCAGAGCCCGCCCTCATCACGGTCCACCCCCAACATCTCCAGGTATTTTCCAACCCAAAGCTGGCAACCCTATTTATGATTGTTTTAGTAGGATCATCCACAACTTTACAAAATATCAAGCTTTTGAGTTTCTCAGAACCGTTCCTCAGATTGGACGTTTAGTACTAAACAAAGGGCGAGTGGAGAAAAAAGATCATTCAGGACGTGGTGAAGAAGCGCCTAGTATGAGGAGGAGTATTAGAATGGACAGATGGGTGTTGAAAATTTAGGCTGCAATCCTAAAGGCACTTTTCTGGGGGCAAAAGCTATCCAATAACACAGAGTTTATTAAACGTAGATTTGCGTAGGATTGCTCCCTTAATTGGATCCATGGATGTTCGATTTTAAAAACCTGGCTGCAGATTGCACCAGGGATACTAGCCATAACATTCCCTTTTCCCTGTTAACATAAAAGCCATTGGTAGTTAAATGTGTCCCCATCAGAATTTAGAACTTTTGTAATTCAAAGAGCAGCAGAAAAATATGGCAGTCTCTTTTTTTTTTTTAAGTCCCCAGAGGGGATTTTTTATTTTTTTAAATACTACAAAAACTACCAAGAAAAAAAAGGGAAAGGGTAACTACCATTGGAGCTGCGGTGGCTCAAGTGGTTAAGACTGAACTGCAGGCTGTGGAAGGTCAGTAGTTCAGCAGTTCGAGACCCGAGTGTGCCGCATGACGGAGTGAGCTCCTGTCTCTAGTTCCAGCTCCTGCCAACCTAGCAGTTCGAAAGCAAGAAATTGCAAATAGATAAATAGGTACCACTTCAGTGGGAAGGTAACAGCGTTCCGTGCACCTTGGTGTTTAGTCATGCCAGCCACATGACCACAGAAATGTCTTTGGACAGCGCTGGCTCTTCGGCTTTGAAATGGAGATGAGCACCGCAACCCTAGAGTCGGATTCGACTGGCTTTCAAGCAAGGGAATCTTTTTAACTACCACTAGGGAGAAAGAAAAGCAACCCACACTACACTAAAAACCCAAGGTTAGGAGATCATTCCCTGTTAAGCTACCGTTAGTAATTTAAAAAAAAAGCTGTTAATAAACAATATACTTTGTGAGAACCTGTCTTTCTAAGCTTATATGTTAGTTTGTTTGTTACTTGTTATGAGGAGATTTTCCGAGCATCTCCTCCAGCTCGCTTCATAAAGGCAATTTTCAGAGTCCTTCCGCCTTTACATCTACACTAAGACTCTCTAAAATCTTAATAGCTTCTTAGACGTTCACTCCAGATTCTGCAGCCCAGTCTTCCTCCGTCTTCAAAAGGATAAAACTGCCAATCTTGAGCCTCCTCTCTGGTCTCACCCTCGGGGCCCAGTGGCATCTCAAAAGTTTCTTGATTGTGAAGGCAAATTCAAGCTCTTTTCTCTCAGCAGGATTTGAAGTGACACTTCCTGAGAACACTTGCAAGGAAGGAGTTAAGTCCTTGTAAATCTTTCCTATCTCTCTTGTATTTTTCCTCCTTTTCTTGTTGAAATTGCTGTTAAATTTAGTGTCCATCTCTTTCGCTTTAAAAGTCCTCAGTTCCATTTTTTCTGCTATCGTTGCCAACTGGAGCTGCCAGGACACAAATTGTTGATTTATCTTGGCAAGCTGATGGTTAATACCAACAAGTTGCTCCAGAATCGGCTTGGTGGCTTCTGCTATAAGTGCAATAATGTCTACTTCCCTTCTTCTCGGAATTGTTTTCACCAACTTTTTTGGAGTGTCCTCCATTTTAACGCTTTATTTTCAATATAAAATCGCTTTCTCCCCGGCTCTGAAAATTGCTTTCCGCTGTTTAATCGCTTAGATGCTCATAGATATCTCCCACAACAGGCCTCTACGCTTAAAAATAAAGTCTTTCAGATGTGTCCGTTTACAGCAGTCTCCCCCCCCCCTCTGCTTTTATAAATGCGTCAGAGAGACATCCCACTCTCA